CGAGAGGCGAGGCGAGCAAGCGCGGGAGGCTGGGGCGGGGCGGGGGCTGAAAGGGAGCCCGCCGCGAGTGCTTGTTGCAGCAGGTGGGTGCTGCTGGGGAGACGCTCCAGGGCAGGGCCTAGGCGAGGACGGACCGTGCTGCCAAAGGAGACCGGAGCCTGCGAGCCTTCAACCGTAAAATAACACTTGGTGCGGGCAGAGCTGCGACTGCATCCAGCCTCCGGGCAGCCGTTCCTCGCTTTGCCTGCGGGGGGGCTGGACCGGTACGCCAGCTCCTGCCGCGCTACAAGTGGAGTTGGTCAGGTTTTTTAAGCAGGATGGTTATAACTCAGTGGCCTCAGAACATGGTGAGCTTGGCTCCTGTGCACAGGGCTCCTGTGCTTCTGCGCGTACGGCTCCAGCAGTAAACGTTGAGCTCGCCAAACTTTTCGAAAGACCACGCGCCTTGTCGTGATGCCCCATGTCCCTGGTTTGCTTTTGGGAATGAGCAGGAAGCCTTACTCAGGTACACCGTGTTAACGCCCCTCCCCCTTATTTCGAAGGTAAAGATCAATGTTTACTTTAAAACTTCCTTCAAACATCTATCTAACATTTTCACAGTTAAATTAGTGAGGAGTGTCAAAATAATTTAAATGACAGTAGATCTTGAAATTCAAAAAAGGTAAAGTTTTATAACTTTTAAAACACAAATTGTCAATATCACATGTCAAAATATACAAAATAAATCACCTTAAATCACACTCTAATAACTTACCAAGCAACTTTTCCTTACCTTGCTGGTCAGTACATTTCAATTATCATGAATCAGAGAATACTAGAACCTGGAGATTCAAGCCATCACCAAGTCCAGTCCCTTGCCCTTATGGCAAGACCAAGCACTGTCTACATCAGGGTGAGGAACCTTTTTTGGGGAGGAGCATGGAGCCTTGAGGGCTGCATCTAGGCAAGCCAGCCCCTCTGCCCCCCCTTTAGGTTCCCCATCCCTGATCTAGATCATCCCTGATAGATGTCTATCCAACCTGCTCTTAAATAACTCCAGTGATGGAGATTCCACAACCTCCCAAGGCAATTTAACCACCCTGACAATTAAGACATTTTTCCTAGTGTCCAACCTAAACCTCCCTTGCTGTAATTTAAACCCATTGCTGCTTTCCTCATAGGCCATGTTTTCTAGCTCTTTAATCATTTTTGTTGCTCTTCTCTAATTTTTCCACATCTTTCTTGAAATGTGGTGCCCAGAACTGAACACAAAACTTCAACTGAGGCCTAATCAGTGCAGAATATAGCAGAAGAATGACTTCTCATGACTAGCTCACAACACTCCTGTTAATGCATCCCAGAATCATGTTTATCTTTTTTGCAAGTGTCACACTGTTGACAAATATTTTTCCTTAATTTGTGTGTGTATGGTGAAATTAAGATTTACTGATATTCAGGGCTCACCGAACCACGGCGAGCCCCGCTCACCAGCTGCACTGTCCGGCGATCTGCACATGCACAGCTCACCCGAACCCGGCTCTTCCAGGTTACAATCTACTCGCCACAGGCTTATTTGTCAAGCCCTGCTGATATTTACTGACAAATCTAATCCTTGCAAGTTTAATTATACACATACTAGCAACTCCTCATTGGCCCTCAGAAAGTTGCCATTATCTGTCAGTTGCCAACAAGTGGAAGGCAGGTTTGCATGACTGCACTCATGAAAGGAAGCTCTGCAACCCTGATGTGGGAAAGGCAGCAATGGGGAAAGGAGCCGAAAACTGGATGTTGTGGCTTTCTAAGGAGAATGGGGGCACTAGAGCAGTGTTTCTTAAACTTTTTAAGACTTAGGAACACCAAACCATTTTTTTATAGAGAACACCAATGATTGTTTTTGTCGAGCAAAAAAAACCAAAAAACAGCCCCTAGGGAAAATTTGTTGAGCAAAAAAAAAAAAGAAGAAAAATAAAACCACCGGGCCTGGGAGACCTGGGGGTCGAAATGCATCACAACCTCGCCAGGAAGACTTCCCTAATGAGAGTCTGGTATGTAGACCACAAACAAGTAAGGATAATAATGAACAAATGATAAATAAGGTCATGTGTCTGGCCAGGAAGGAGGGTAGAGGAGGGGACTTGGGGCAGAGTGTCTGACTAGGAGGAAGGGTGCAGGAGGGGACTTGGGGCAGGGCGTCTGGCCAGGAGGAAGGGTAGAGTGTTATGCTTAAACGAAGCACATGAGATCTTTTATAGGAGAAAAGGCAGTACACCGTATTTATTGAGAATACAACAGTTGCATATGCTTTTCAGTCATTCACACATAAACACCATACATACACAGTACCACCAGACGATGTTATAGTTACCAGTCCTGATTCTGTATCAATCTAGTGGCCAGTTAGATCGATCAGAGCATGGCCTTTTGTCAGTCGCGATCCGATGCTCATCTGGAGTTGGTGGCAAGACGAACCCAAAGTTCCATAGCAAAGCACCCTGCTTTTATAATCCTTTTTTCTGTTGAAGTCTATGGATTCCCGTGCCAGCCTGTAACCGGCATGTTATCTGGTTGATGTCCCAAAACATCTCCAAGAGGCTCATCCTGTCCTGGATTGTTAATCAGTTGTTTTTAGGGATGTCTCACCTTTAGAGTTGTAAATCTGTCAATTTGATCAATTCTTGACGGTGGGTATGCACTGATGGTTTCTCTAATGCCAATATGTCTCTTTGCAGTCTGTCTTAAGGGCTACGTCTACACTGGCACCCTTTTCCGGAAATGCTTAAAACAGAACAGTTTTCCGTTATAAGTATTTCTGGAAAAAGCGCGTCTACAGTGGCAGGATGCTTTTCCAGAAAAGCACTTTTCCCGGAAAAGCATCCGTGGCCAATGTTGACGCGCTTTTCTGGAAAAAAGCCCCGATCGTCATTTTCGCGATCGGGGCTTTTTTGCGGAAAAGACTACTGTGCTGTCTACACTGGCCCTTGAAGGCAAGTTCTGCAGCTTCTCTTTCCAGCTGTTTTTTGAAATTATTATTAATACTATTACACTATTAAAAGCAATTTGTAATAATTTTAGATCCATTAATGAGTATCCAGGTAGGTTAAAATGTTCCCTAACAGGTTTCTGTGTGTTGCCATTTTGAATATCTGATTTGTGTCCATTAATCCTTTGTCATAGAGACTGTCCAGTTTGGCCAATATACATGGCAGAGGGGCATTGCTGGCACTTGGTAGCATATATCACATTAGTAGATGTTCAGTTGTATGAGCCTCTCATGTGGTAGCTTATGTGATGATGTCACTTGTATAGATGTGTGGACAGATTTGCCTCTGGAGTTTATTGCAGGGGTGACTTCGTGGGTGAGTATGATGGAGGTGTGCTGCATGGTTGCTGGAAAGAGTTTGTGTCAAGTTCAGAGGTTGTCTGTAGGCAATGATTGTCCTGTTCCTCAATGCCTGTGAGAGTGAGGGCTCATTTTCCAGGATAGGTTGTACATTGTTAATGATGCACTGGAAGGGTTTAAGTTGGGGAATATAGATGTTGACTAGTGGTGTTCGGTTATTTTATTTGTTGGTTTTATTTTGAAGAAGCTTATGCCTGGGTACTTGTCTGGCTCTGTCAATCTGTTTTTTTCCACTTCCCCAGGTGGGTATTTAAGTTTTAAGAATGCCTGAAAGAAATCCTGTAGATGTTTGTCTTTGTCTGTGGGATTGGAGCAAATCTGGTTGTATCTTGGGGCCTGTCAGTAAACAATTGATTGGGAAATGTGTCTTGGATGGAAGCTAGAGCCATGTAGGAAAGTGTAATGGTCAGGAGGTTTCCAGTATAAAGTGGTGGAATTGTGGCCATCATTTAATTGTATTGTAGCATCAAGGAAGTGGATCTCTTGTGTGGACTGGTCCAGGCTAAAGTTGATGGTAGGATGAAAGTAATTGAAATGGATTGTGACTCAGCATATCCCAGTGCTTTCTTCTGTGGGCACAGGGTCCAAGCAGGGTACAGTTTGGATATAGCACAGAGAGGTACAGTGCAGCTCCAGTGTCGGGTGTATCCCAACACTTCCTTCCCTGGCTGTAGACTCACAAACCTGTCTACAACCAGGTCCTTTCTTAACAAAAAGTGTTCTTAATAAACTGTATTCTTGTTGCCAATAGCTGAACACTATTAATATTAAAATCAAGGAAGCAGGATTGGTTGCCAGCAAAATATTACTAATAACTAGAAGTTACTATCTGGGTTTCTATTGAACAGAATCTACTGTCACAATGAAAGCTTCTTAGATTGTGAGGCAAATATTGCAAGTGCTTGCAATAATTGAATTATAAAATACAGAAATTACAGTTGAAGAGATGTAACTTAATTTATGGAGTGTCTGAGAAGGAAAAATTGAAATCAGATAGAATAATGTATTTGTCCATTTCACTAAAACTAAAGAACTAATTGGGAAAGCCATATTTAGTTCTAGCACAAGCTACTATGGAGTAAGAGATGTGAAATAAAAACAAGAAGCTGGAAATAAAGAGCAAATGTAGTAATTAATTCATGGTTAAGAATAAATCAATAGGGAAAGGTCTCAATAATACACTCGTTTAGCTAGGCCTAAAAGCAACACAAAAAACAAAACAACCCCCAAAACAAAAACAAACAAACAAAACCCCAAATTTATATGGACCACTACTTAATTCCATGTCAAGAGAACCAGAG